TGCGTAATATGGTTTGATAGCACCAAATTATTTACTATAACAAAAAACTCCGTTCACGTAATATTAAAACTAAATACCCCCCACTTTCAAAAAAAGAAAAAGTATTATACCAAGTAAGAGAAAACCGTGAGATGATGAGCCAGCAAGAGTCAGAGAAGTGTGATAGCCCCAGCAAGGGGTCTACATCGATATAGGCTCGCACTCTATATATCTTGGGGTCTTTTTGTGGCTCTGACAAAAGCAAGCAAATAGAATTATTAAAAATAATAAGCTAGCTATGTGTACTTTAATGAGACAGGAACAACAAGACAACTGAAGAGAAAATTGCTCGTAAGATGTAGTCACCGTTATGAGCACTAACTAACACTATGTACCATTTGTCGTGAGTATCCGAAAACCGAATTTCGTATAGCATTTTATTTCTTAATTTTAATAGCATAATTAAATACAGAAAGATTATAATTATCACAGCACGATTACACTTATGGCTAATTTTCCGTATTTCAAATATTATACATCAGCATCATTACTAGCAAGGCCAAGGTCTTTGAAATTATAGAAAATCCGTGTACTTTGAATCGAATCATTATACTGAAAAATAAACACTCTTGATGCGTAAAGACCTTGAGCAAGTTGTAGAAGATAACATTACATAGAAAGTTTTTATACCTGTAGTAGTTCATGATAAATTTTTAAAATTTAAAACTAAAATTTTTATAGTGGTACAAACTATTCCTTTAAGAATTCATTAAAAAAGATAAGGGAAAAAGGTAAAGTAGTTGTATTTTTCTAAATAGTAAAAAAATGAGCACACCTAATGTTTTAGCAATTGTGTTATGCAAGTCTATCTTCTTTAACAGCTCTAGACAAAGCATTCCATAAGTCTAGGTTATATTTTCATTTTTGGGATACTCGGCGTAGCTATAAGTAAGAATCGAGCTTACTATTGTCATACAAGAAGCTAGAAAAATTTTGTTTGTAAATTTGAAAACCCAAAATAATTGTTTCTTTTCGTGCCTTATGTATATATATGTTTATTCTCCATCAATATTTTAACTCGACGTTTTTTTGGCAAGCCAAATGTTGTCAGTTGCTTGTACGTGTATAATGTATATTCAAAATTTGTCTTTCAATATTAACATAACTGGTTGTAAGACATGTATAGCAAAAATAGTAATTTCGAAAATCCCATTTTTTAGATGGATAAAAAACTAAATAAAAAAAAATCAAAAGGTTTTTAAATTAAATATTAAAAAGTACGAGTTTATTGGACCGACGGAATGCAACGGTTAAAAAAAAGAAAACTAAATTTACGAACTAACATAGGTACACAACTCATTTTTGGCATGCTGTACTGCAGAAACTCACTGTAGAGCTATATGTTATGTCTCTATAAAGACGTCAATTTTCACATGTGACTCCCACCTCACGCGAGTACACATTGACATTTTATAGTATGGACAAATTGTAGTATTTTATAGAATGGAAATCACAGCAAGTTTTAAACTAATTATCAATAGAAATTGTATTGTAGAATTAGATGTGAAAAAATATGTTCTCTTGATCAAAGCAAAGTGTAATCATCTTCATTAACCGCAATTGCAACAATAATTGCAAAATTATGTAACCTTTTAGTTAAGACATACAGTAAAATAGTTAACATTCACAGTCTGAAAATGGAAAAATAAAGATAACATATATCCTTTGTTGGATCAAATATGATGATGTAGTTATTACAAAATTAATTACTGCGTTAATTTGCAATTTACTACAAGCAGAGCCAAGGAAGTAGCACCTACTCTGCTCAAAAGCATTAATCTAATGGAAGCAGACGCGACAACCTTCGCTCTGTCGATAATTAATAGCCAGTTAAGATCAGTGGTTTTGTAATAACTACAGTATTAAATTCAGTCAAACAAGGGAGATTGTTTTAATTCTTTAACTTCTTAAAGTACATCATTACTTTACGGCATGGATCCTAATTTCAAGATTATACAATGTCACAACTTATTTTTTCAATAAGGTCCAAAGAAGATGCTATTGAATTTTAATTAAATCAAAAGATCTATTGGCTAAGCAGCTAGAGCTAGAACATAAGGGGGGGGTGGAGTTGACGGGAGGGGGGCACCCTGGGCCGTGTGCCAATTAAGCAGCAGGTAAATGGCAATAGTATCACTATGGAAAGTTAAAATTAAAAAAAAGGAAGGTTCTCGTACTCACTACCTTCAGTGTGTGGTAGTATACAACTTTAAAGTATCAACACAAATTGTAAATAACTCACTTATATCTGGAATCGAAGTTTGAAACTTACTATCAGAGATGAGTTTGGATATCTATAAAAATTTGAAATACTTTAGGAACAGTATAACCTTCAAAACGAATGTATTGAATACAAAATTTATGAAAACTAATATTATTTCTAAACTATAGTAAAATACGTTTATATTATTCATCCTTTTTAAACTCTCTTTTAAAAAAATTCTTTTTTTTTAACATGGATGTTGTTCAACGTTATGACTAATTATAAGTCAAAGTTGATATGCGATAATCTCATATCTCGAAAAAATTTACTTTGTGAAAATTCGTTAAAAATTACTAATTTGCTTACATAGTTTCAAGCCATAAGAGTTAACATTAAAAACTTACTAATAAATAACTTTTCGTAAATATATGAAACTTAATGAAATATTATAAAAATATCTAAAAAGAATTGATGTAATCAAGAAACAATTATAATCTGATACTTTTATAACATTCGATACATTCGAAAAAACATTGATATTTAAATTATTATATGATTTTCTAGTGTATAACGCACAGTGACCTCGATCACCGTGTTAGTCTTGTCGACACATGAACATACGAGATTTATACATAAATTATAAAAATTATAATTAAAATAATTATACTTCAAAAACAAGTCATACTTATCTAGCAACGCTTAAAATAAAAATATAGTACAACTCACTCTATAATTATGTATGATTCTTACACGTCCCTACACTTAGATAAGTTTTTTTATCAATTTTATTGTAAATGCCCATAAAAATTACCGTGCGGAATGGTAAACACGGGACTAGGTCGTCACTCCAGACTTTTCACCTAACCTTAAGAATTTTTACCGTTATGTCCAGTAAAAAATCATCAGGCACCCAACAAAAATTCCCCTCACAAATCATAAGCCAAAGTTCACTGTAGGTAAAACAGAGACCACAATTAACGTATTAAGTGTCAGTACAAGATGCGACAAAAAATGTTTTTGTTCATCTGATTGATTGTAGTACGCTATCACTGTACTCATTTTTTTTTTATCAATGTAACCGGTTGGACATTGTACCATTTTAAATAAATATTTCTGTACAATAATTGAAACGTCTTAACTATATTTAACTAAACACTTGTAACCTAAGCTGATTTGACATTGCAAGCGGACTGTCCGATATACATAAGATTTTTAAAGAATGTATATACTATAATAAAGAATGTATAATACTNGTAACCTAAGCTGATTCAACATTGCAAGCGGACTGTCTGATATACATAAGATTTTTAAAAAATGTGTATACTATGATGAAGAATTTATAATACTATAATAATTTTATTGCTTCAAATACAATGTAATTAAGCTACGGTCTCTGTTTTACCTACAGTGAACATTCGCTCGTGAGTCTTGAGGGCAATTTTTGTTGGGCGTCAATGATTTTTACTCGACGCAACGGTACAAATTGTTGAGGTTGGGTAAAAAGTTCTGAGTTACGATCTAGTCCCACGTTTACCGTTCTGCACGGTAATTTTGATGTGCATTTACCATACAATTTATAAAAAATTTCTCTCAGCGTATAGTTGACCGATAGAAGAGACCAGCTATGTATTGGTGAGACGTTACAATCATGTTAATATAGGATTAAGGTCAAAAATCAAATGAAATTTGTATTAGTTTATTCATGAAAGTTTAATTATAATTATAATTATTTTTGGTTTTTGTAAAGCTAAATCTTCCTAATAAATGTCAGCTGATATGTCATCTTAGATGGCGTCTGACATGTCGGATGATATGTTGTGTAAATATGTATGTCATATGTAAATTTACTGAAATAATTAAAATTGAATAAAAACTGTCAAATTATGCAATTTACGGTTTCCTCGTAAATCTATACGGTGTTATTATCCACATGATGCATCGCAAAACATACGTATTAAATTGTGAAAGTGTTGATGATATCTATAAACATTTTGAAAAATTTTTAGATGACACGTCAAGTGATACGTCAGCTGATATGTCAGATGATACATTAGCTTATTATGTCAGATGCCATATGACACCTGATATATGACATCAGAATTTTTTCAAAATTCAAAATAATAAAAATCAACACCTTCAAGCTTCGATAGGTAAGTATGTTTTTCGACAAATCATGTGGATAATAACACCCGTTTAGCACACTTCAGAGCAATAAATTGCATAATTTAATAGTTTGATATTATTATTAATGTTTTGAATAAAGTTAGAGATGACTTATTAACACGACATGTCAAGTGTCATGTCAGGTAACTTCTCAGGTGACAAATCATCGGGCATTTATTAGGAGGAAAATCTTAACTTTGTATAGAAGGCCCAGCTTCTTTCATTCTGTGCGACACTAACCTACGCTTTGCTGCTGGACAAAACGTATCATTTTACTCGTAATTCAACAATAAATCATTATTAACAATAAATAAAAAAAAAAGGTGATTCTTCTTTATTATTTACAGAGCCACAACAAACAACAGATCTTAATTTTATTCATCGTGCATGTTACGTATAAAAGTTATATACTTCACACATGAAAGAGATTACGAAAATAATACTTGTGCGTTAATCGCATACCTCTCACACTAGTACCGTAATGTTATATATATTCAGTATAAATTTATATTTTGTTATAACTGTATAAATTTTCCCTTTTATTTTTTAAAGTTTTTACCACGAAACCTTTGAAAAGAGTGTGTTAAATTCTTACTCAAGGAAGGGAAATCTTTCGTTAATGGGAACTTTGGCTCCCTTGAAGTCCAGACTATTTGCTATGCACCAGACCATCTCTTGCGTCCAGGTAGTTCCTATTGTCAACAAAATTTAAAAATCATTTAGTAAAAGAAATTATCATAAAGTATTTTTAGTAAAGTTAGTTTTTTAAGAATACATTTAATTCAACAACACGAATAATGAATAATTATTAATAAAAATTAAAATTAAGTAAGAATAGCTAGATCTAATTAAGGAGTATCTATACGATTCCCCTATTGTCGTAAGAGAAATTCCACTTTCTTGATAATATACATGTTTTTAAAACTTCACAACGGTTGACCTTGGCAGCCTTTACTAGACTTTACTATCCAATTTACCAAGGGAGAGCGAAGGGCTAAGAGCTCTCAAATCTCCACGTGGTAGTCAGATCAGACTCCCAAGATCCCGAAGAATTACGCTATGTAGATTCGATGAGGAGAAACATCATTTTAGTAGAAAAGTTGCATACGTCAGCTTACCATATTATTTGTAAGCCACGAGTACTGTGTATAAACTTTAGAGAGATTTTGTTGTAACAAAAATTTGTCGAAGGTTTTGTCAACGTCCGTATTAATTTTCCAAACATGCCATACTAAATAAAAAAATTTTTTTGACTTGTTCTTTTCAAGATACAGTCAAAAAACTAAAAAATTGATGTTATGTTTGTGCATAGTTTTACCCCTCTCTATTTGTGCAGGACGATCATGTAGTACCGCTTTAGGAAACCCATCAAAATAGTTATTTTGGGTCTATCGAGCTTCCTTTTCGAGATATGACTGTTTCGAGATATTGTGACAAAAATTCTTCGAAGATTTTGTAAGCGACTATATTAATTTTTTATACACGGTATATTAAACAAAAAAATTTTTTTTACTCGTGCTTTTCAAGATACTGTCAAGAAAAAAAATAAATGAGGTTATGTTTGTGCATAGTCTGACCCCTCTTATTTGTGCACTTCAATCACGAAGATCTCCTTCATAAAACCGGTAGAAATTGTTATTTTTAGCCAATATTGCTTCCCTTTCGAGATACAGCGTTTCTTCTTGTTTGTAAAAGTTAAGCTGTCGTATTATACATATTTAATATTTCACTTACATACATACATATGAAAAGTTTTGAGTTTTTACATACATATATACATATAAAACAATAAATGGGAATAAAGAATGATTTTTACTATATTTCTTCTAAGACTTCAAAGAGATCAAGCGATGTTTTATGTCTGACATTATTTACCTGACAGTACCTTAGCTGTAACAGAGGCCCAGTTCAGCCCGTATTACAGCCATGTTACGATTTCCACCATGCAGCAGTGCTATACCTACTCTATGTATAGAGTATATAGAGTACTATTAAGGGAGAACATAGAAGCTATATCATACATTTAGATAGAGAGAGCGCGCGGTGGTTCAGTCGGCTAGATCATGGATTGGCACGCGGAAGACCGTGGTTTGATTACTGGCCAGTGCGACTTTTCGGGCAAGTAACTCTGTGATTTTTCACATGTGCTTTTTCACCACGCAATGCTCCTTGAGGAGGGTTTAGGTGATCTTCTCGCAGCAAAAATTGCCTAATTTCTCCGTACCCCCCTCCTGTAATGGGAGGCCTCCTCATCCCTCTTGCCTTCCTCAAGGGCGTCACAACCTAAATTTTCATGGTATGGAATGGGCTTCAACATAAGTATGGGGCGGAGAGGGGGGGGGGATTTTCATCAATTTCAGTATAATCCACTGTATAATCAAAATATTAAAGTGCAAGTGTATCAATCTAAGTTCTTAAACCCACATAACCAAAAATCCTAGTTTTACTTGAAAAATTGTTTGTTAATAAAGGTTAGTACAAAGTATAAAGTAATATTTTTACAAAACATCACTTTAGTAAAAATATAATTATTCAAATATGGCCTTCGGTGATATAAATATGGATTTATATTTATTAAACTAAAGAGTAACAAGCATTTCTCGCTGTTACTTATGTTCACTATTTACTAGATTTAAAATGTATTTCGCGCGCACAGGTAAACACTGGCAGCGTTTGCTGAAAATGCGATATTCAATACGATATTCGATATTTCGATTACAAAATTTCAATACTCGATTGCATTATAGTAGTCATGCTTACACTGCAAACAGACCTTAATATGAAATCTAACCCCAACATACTATTACCAGTATTTTTTTTTACATGGAGCTAACATTCTTTTTTTGATACTTTGGCACTTCTCATTTTATACTAAAATCTATAAATAAAAATGAGAAAATTTCTTGTTCCACTCAGTTCCCATAGCAAAGAGAGTGATTCTCCAAGTAACGAGCTAAATAAATCCAACAGTATGCTGCATCAAAGTGAGCTTTTTGATAATAAGGTCTCTAAAAGTAATCAAGATAAGTTGAGCAGTGATTATTATTCTCCAGGTAAATTTAAATTTGTTACTAAACAAAAAAAAGTTTATTGCTTATTATTATCATTATTAAAATTTGATGCAATTTAGAATCAACACCATCGTCATTCCCTAACTGGAAAAAAAACATATAAGTGGCTAGATTCTAATGCTTTTGGCAAAGCAATTTGTACCACTTGTACATATGCCGTCAATGATAAATTGAGAATTGGGCAGAACAAAAATACTAATATCTCGAAAAAAGCATTTGTTGATGAAGGTTTCAGTTGCTGGAAAAATGCAATTTCGTCATTCAAAAGCCATGAGAATAGTGAATTGCACATGCAGGCAGTACATGTGACTATTTCAAATCAGAAGAAACAGAGTATCATGGATCATCTCAGTACAGCAAAAAGACAGGAAATGGTTGACGCTCGAATAGCTCTGAATAAAATTTTCACGACTGTTTTGATGTTAGAAAAACAGGGTCTTGCTCTAAGAGGGCATGATGACGATAGATCAAATTTGATCCAGTGTTTGAAAATGAGGGCTCAGGATGTACCTCAATTGAAATCATGGCTAAATCGTAATGGAGATAAATATCTCCATCACTCTATTATTAATGAGATATTACACATATTTTCTGAAGCGACAATGCACCGAATAATTAGTGAAATCAAGTCAAATCAGTATTACTCAATTATGGTGGATGAGACATCTGATTTTGCTCGGCTAGAACAAATCTCAATTTGTATTAGGTCAGTTTCTGAAGATTTAGCCGTGAAAGAATATTTCATGACGTTTTGTGATACAGGTGACACAAAAGCTGAAACACTGCTTGGAATTATAACCAAATGTCTCTCTAAAATAGGCCTTGATATACATAACTTAAGAAGTCAATGCTACGATGGGGCTAGCAACGTCTCTGGGAGAATAACTGGCCTTCAATCTAGAATCCGAGAAATTGAACCACGTGCTCTGTATGTGCATTGCTCGGCTCATACCTTAAACTTAGTTGTACAGGATGCTCTTGAAGATATACCTTACGTAAGAAGCTTTATTGGAATAGTAAAAGGTATCATTACCTTCATACGAGACTTTCCAAAGAGATTACACGAGTTTAAAATATGTCAACAATTTCAATCTGGTGAACATCATACTGCGCTATCCCCATTCTGTCTTACAAGGTATACCAAGTCAAAAGAAAGAAATCCTAATTTTTTTCATTAATCCTAGTGCGATTTTTATATTTTTTATTGAAATTAAATGGTAGTTTTCGGGACCGCCCTGGAGAGATGCACATTTGTGATGAAAACTACCATTACACTAAAAAGTACTAATTTAAAAATTTTGAAATTAACGACGAAGACGATTGATTATATTTAATCAAATGATTTTATGGCATACAGTGTAAAATTTGTTTATTTTTTAACGAGATGTGTACAACGTTTCAATTGTATATTGACAACTATTTTTAAGTAAAATAAACTGTAATATTCGATATAGCTTACTTTTTACTTAAAAAGAGTTATCAATATATGACATAAAAGTTGTACACATTTTGTTGAAAAATAAAAAAAATTCTTGACAGTATGACATCAAATTATTCGATTTAATATATTGTATAAACTTAAATCTGTTTCATACTTATACAAACAATTGCATCATTGATTGAAGAAATTGTCACTATAATCATAATTACTCCTTTTTAGTTGCAAAAAATGTCTATCTTTGAAAAAAAATTAATTATAATTATTAAAAAAGCGATAAATGTTTTCAGATGGGTTATAAGAATAAAGTCTCTAAAATCCCTACACCTTCAGGATAATTACAAGGCTACAATTGAGTTTTTTGATTCAGTTAATTCTAATAGACACACAGATTCTAAACAAGCTTCTGAAGCTGCGGGATATTTACAAAATATGCTGTCATTTAATTTTTATTTTTATTTGACTGCAATAATTGAAATATTTTCACCGATTGAAACTTTAAATTTCCAACTTAAAAAATCTGAATTGTGTGGGAATGAATCCCATGAGAAGGTTTAAATATTAACTGACGTTTTAAAAGAAATGAGGAATTCTAAATTTGATAAAATTTGGCTAAAAGGCACTGAGGGCATTCAAGTTTTGGAAATCGGTGAGCCAACAGTCCCTAAAAAAAGAGAAGTTCCTAAGAGATACGATTCTATCAGTGAGTCTCACGTTTTTCAAACTCCAAAAGATTATTATCGGAAGCAATTTTATGAGATAGTCGATCAAACACTTATGTCATTAAACGAAAGATTTAATGCAGACACGCTAAAAATTTTGAGCAGATTTGAGAATTTCATTATTGGCAAAAGTAATGTGTCTATAGATGAAATTACAAATTTTTATAATTTTTCTACAAAAAGCAATAGCATTACAAACGACATGGATCCAGAAAAGCTTATTAAACAAAGAGATATTTTTATTGACCTAGTAAAGAGGGAAAAAATTTCTATAACATCTTTAAAAGACGTCATAGCATACTTAAAAGATAATAAGGCCCTAAGAGGCATTCTTGATGAATACTGTAAGCTTGTGAGACTTCTTCTCACTGTTCCAGGATCATCTTGTGTTAATGAAAGATCATTCTCTGCTTTACGTCGTCTAAAAAACTATTTACGGAGTACAATGTTAGA